ACAGCTCAACCACAGAACCACAGAAATGTACAGAGAAATGTCTCCTCAGTGCGTTCCAAACATATATTCCAAAAGCATATTAACAGTAGTTCGGGTAAGCTTAAAAGCTCACTCACACAGGTGTAAATATTGAATGGTGAATAGGTGTTTGTCTCTATATGTGCCTTGGGATCCACCAGTAAATGTCCGACAGGTGACTGCATGGATTGGTTCTGTCCTTACATGCAGCAGAGGATGAATGAATGAATGAACATGGTAACAACCTTCAGAGCTGCTGCCTGTGACCCTGACGTGTAAGAAGATGGAAGTAGGAACATTAATAAAAATCACAGCCATCACGCCAACATGGTCAGAGTGACAGCATGTGGAAACGTTTGAATGAATAACAGATAACTGTTACTTGTCACCTAGCTGAGCCGATCTCCGTTTGTTTCTGTGAGGCATTTTAATATATTTCTGCTAATCCCATTGGGTTTCACAGCCAACAGCTCTCACTACCCCATTCAACCTTCTTTCCAGTAGTAACAACAGGCAGCTCCACACCATCTGGCCGCCACCAAATGGCAGACAAATAAAAGCTCAAGCTGGTGAGCATAGTGGCACAGTTAGAAGCTAATAAAACTATTTCTAGCTGGATGTGTTTTGTAGCACATTTGCTTAATCAAATTTGTTGGGTTTTTTTTTTTCCCCACTTCTTTTCCTGAACGACCTTGTGGTTCGTACTGGTTGTTATTTTGACTGACACATGGATTGATTGTACACTATACAAGAATATGTCCTCCTGGAGAATGTCAAACATTTATATCTGCGTGGACCAACCTGGGCCAAGGAATAACAGAGAAACTGCAGTAGAGATGAAATTGCAGTGCCCCGTGTGGCCTCAAATGGTATTGGTTTAGAAAATATACAGATCAAAACATGGCTTGTTGTAGATGTAAAGTCATACATGTTAATAAAAAAAAATCAACTGATTATGGCTCATCATAATGAAGCAGCGTCTGTGCACAGCCCCCGGTGGATGAGTGCTATAATGAATGTGCTGCTTTGAGCAAAAACAATCTGGGTGACCAAATTCTTCAGAGAACAGAAATGTGGTTGTGTGTGTGTTTAACACTGTGTTAGTGTTAAACATCCCACACATCGAAGGCTTGAAACCACAACTGTTCTCCCAGTACCTCCATTATTTACAGGTTTCCTTAAATAGGTTGATAGAAAGGGAATTAATTACAACAGTGCATCTTTTAATTACTGCCATTTTTCTTTTGGAAGTCCCAGGCCAGGATAAATGAAGAGGGTTGCATCAGGCAGAGGCCTGAGGCAAAAAACCTGTGCCAAATTACATATGCAGGTTATCCACTGTGACAGAGCCTGGAGGGAGCAGCTGAATGTGATTCTTTTTCTTTTTCTTTTTCTTTTTTTTTTTTTTTAGCTCATTATTTGTGTCTCGTGTTTGAACTGGCCAGGCTGTGTGCACGGTGGCCTGACTGAAACAGAGTTGACCATTGTGTTAATTCATAAAAAAAGATTAGTTTGAAACATACATCACATTTCAAAGTCTTAATAAGACAGTGAACTACAAAACCAGAGCGAGGAGGAAACTGAAAGTGCTGAGTGTAGCAGGGCATCTTTAAGGTCTAACTAACAACTTCACTCTGCTCACATCCCAGTGGCCACTTACTGATCTGATCACGCTGTACTGGTGATTTTATTTTTATTTTTTTCACAATTTACATGTTACATTATTAAAAAAAAATAAACACCTGACCATTAAGTTTTCAGAAAAAAGTTTACTAACTTTATACATAACTTTATACAAATGCATATTTTTCAGGAAGTAAATTAAATATCCTTAGATCTGATTTGATTTTATTAATTGTTGCGTGACTTTTAGACAGATTTAAAATATGTAGTGAGAAATGAACAGTGATGTTTCACTGCACTCATTAATTGCTTCCATGCTAACTTTCTGAGGATCCTGCTTCTTTGTCCCATTGGATGTTGTAGCTGACCAGGAGTGCTGATTGGTTAGTTTGGCCTATACAATAATTACCTACCGTCCTGTCAGGGAGTGTACCTTCAATAAGAAAACATGGCATTTATCGCCAGCATCCTTTCATCAGTCTTCGTTGGGTGAAGTGCAACAGTGATAAACAAAAAGCAGACAAATCCACTCTGGTCTTTAGGTGAGGAGGTTTAATCTGTGATCAATGGTGGCAAATCTTGAACTTAGTTAAGGTAATAAAGGTCTGTCAATAAAAGCGACATGCTCTGAATGCAAACACTTGTCTCTGCGGCTTTTGCTTGAGCAGAGTGCCTGTGTGTGTGTGGAATCTTAAAGGCAGGGATGTTGAAAGCCACTGAAGGGGTCACAGAAGGAAGTGGCACTGAAAGGGAGTGAAAGGGAAACTGTCTCAACGCCGGGGAATCTCTGGAGAAAAACCACTTGCATAATTGTGCTACATCTCCGTCTGTTTACACCCGAGAATGTGTGATGTTTTGATTTTTGTTTGTTCCACGGCACAAAGTAAAACAGGGAAATTGTGCATCTCTGCAGAAGCATGACTGGGTAATGTTGATGCAAGATTAGAATGCACTGGATTAGCCCGCAGGCTGGAGAAAAGCAGAAGAATTGACATGCAGATAAGATAAGGGATTACTGAGGGAGCATTCACTCTGCACCGAGACATCCTTTAGTAACTGGAGAAAAAACCATGGTCACCTTTTTAATATCAGTAACTGAGTGAAATGACTATCTACTTCCATTTAGAACAGGTTAATTAATGTCACCTATCTGTTCATTCTTCTATAGTGCTGAACAGCTGGCTCCTATCAGGGTTATTATAGAATACAACAGAACTATTGTAGATCCAATCTGAGCTGATGATCTGAGCTGCTGCTGCTCTACATTCTCTCCACCGCTGTGCTGTTGTCAGCAGCCTCTGTTCCTAAAACCTGTTTAATGTGGTTAGCACCGTCCTGGAAACAGTCCGACTCTGATGCATTTATGATATTTCACCTTCAGATATATCATTTTTTTAACTTTTCACCCAGCATTGCATTTGAAACCAAAGAAAATTTCATCGACATAAGAAAGTGAATCCTCGAACTTCAAACGCCTCACTTTCTGCTCACTCACAAGTGTGTAATTTGTAACTGCAGGCAAAGCAAACATGAAAGTTGAAAATGATTTGCCGTTTTTTTCCTTATCTGTGAAAGAAAGCAGAGGTGTAAACTGATTTTTTTATTTAATTTAAATATTTATGGTGGTTTTAGATGTGTGTGTTTTTAGCTAATTATTTTTCTGATCCACTCTAGTGTTTTTTAAACCTATCCCACTGTTTGTATGAACATTATTCAGCAAATATTTCCACTTCCAAGACTCGAGTGGAGATCCTTTGTGGGGTTTCTAGTTGAAGACTGACCTCTGCTGACGAATTTTAGCATAACACATAACCGCCCAGTCTCCTACCATTTATTATTCCCATTATTTATTATTCTCTTCTCATTCATCGTGAGCACAGAGTCGTGGCAGCTCAGCAGCCTGGTCTACCTTTCTTCCTGCAGCTTCCTCCGGTTCCTCCTGGGGGGATCATCAAGACTTTCTCCTGCACGCTGACAGATTAGGTGTTGATTGAATATGTTTCTCTTCCTCTCTATGCAGCACGTCTCACACCAGGAAGAGAAAAATAAATGAGGGAAAAAAGAGTGAAAAACCAGTTTCCTGTATACCCTCATGGTCTTCAGCTTAAACTTAAGACTAATGACTCAAGTATTACATTTGTATTGATTAGCCAGAATAGACTGTTTCTATTCATATTGTATGCCGTAAATATGGTGGAAAATTTGAACAATTATCCCTGGAGTTAGTGTGATATTTCCACATGACCAGTGTATCATACTTACATACACATGTATTTTAGAAAGTTCGTTTTTTAAAAGTTTTCTTCTAAACCCTAAAGCCTTTTTTCTTCTTCCCTGTAGTATTGAGGCAACTACTTAGATCAAGGCAGGTTTTTCTCCCCACTGTTTCTTCTCCCTCCGGTATCATTCAATCCTCCTCTTCAGGGATTAACAAACCGATCCTACTTTTCTTATTTTACATGTTAACTTCTGGAGAACAACTAACTTCCTCAATATGTGTTTGTTATAACAGTTTATGAATAAAACAACGTCTAGGAAAACCAAGATCACTTTTGCCTTGCAACCCTGAAAAGTCATTCATCACACAGGATTGTGCTACAAGTTACTTTACCCTTGTAAGGTGGAAAGCATAAATGTGCTAAAGCCACTTGTGATTTATGGTGTTTCTTCTGTCAGGAGACATTTCAGGCCACAGGCCGTCTACTTTTCATTCACGAGCAAAGTCTGGAAATTTCAACTGGGATGAGTCATATTTTGCTCCGGCACACTTTCAATATATGGAATATACAATTTTCTTTTTGTATATATTTATGATGTAGCTCAGCTAACTTTTTGTTTTGGAAATGAGACATATACTTATACTTATATAATACTCGTAATTCCATGTATTACAATCCCTTTTCTTTCTGTAACCCTCATCAGGTGTCACCACAGTGGTAGTGGATGTTACCGTAGTGATTAGACCTATTTTTCACCTAGCCTTAACACTGCACCACTACAGACCCCATTAAACTGCCCTTTGTTTGAAAAACAATGTTTGATGAGAGACAGTAACATTTTTAAAACAATTAGAGGAATATCTAATACTTACTTTTAAACTTACAATCTCGCTATGTGACAGATATGTTTGAAAAACTCTAGATTTATATTTAATCTTGGTGACAATTTAGGCATGGCTAAAAAAGAATGCTAAAACAAGACAAGATACTCATTACATACTGTACTGACCTCTGGTGGACACACCAGACTTGACGGTGTGCAAGAAAACTTCATGAAGCCACAGAAGACAACCTACAGGTTTTTCAATGTTAATGCAAGTATTAAAAGCAAAGTGACAACTATATGTTCATGACTCAAACTGCAATTAAATATTTTAATGAGTATTTTACACGCTTATACATATTACAATTCCACAAAGCAACATCTGTCTATTTTTTTTCCACTTAACACAAATCAGTCAGGCAGACCGCATCGTCCTCATAGTATTTGTGTTTGTTTGATTCTTAGTTCAGTTTCTCAGTATTCTGGAATAATTTGCAGTGCACATAAATCAGCCTTTCAGTCCTGCTTTTCTTCAACAATGGAGTCCATTCGGGGTAGATGAGCTCGACAACTCTGTATCCGGCCAACTTCAAAAGTCGCCTTTTCAGTGCATGAATGCCCAAAAAGCTGTACGAATTAATGATGTGGTGATTCTTGTTGGAGACCTGGATTGCAAGTTTTACAACACCTTTAGCATCACGTGTTGCTTGGCCTGGGTCACTGACATTTGGAAGAGTTTGTTTAAAGTCACTTGTGGGATCTTTTGGAGCTGAGGTTGCCGGTTTTGAGGAGCTTTTAGAGAGCGTTAGCTGTTCTATAAGTTTCTCAGTTACACTTACTTCTTTGAATGTCGTCTCCCGACTTTGGCTTACAGACGATTTAGGTGCACTGTTTTCAGGATTTAAGTCGATGGAGTTGGAAGTGAGATTAATGGGTATCTGTCGATGTTCGGAGTCGAGATGTACTTCCAGGTCAATTGTACGGGTGAAGGGCAAAATCATTGTCTTCCGCACAAATTGCTCTCCTCCAAGTAGCTCTTGCAGAACAGACTCTGCCTCCAGAACCTCAGGTCTGTGGTAAGAATGGGACTGAGCAAATGCCAAACACTGCTCAGCAGCCTCCTTCCTCAGTTTCGGGCAAAGTCTAGGACCAGTCGACCGGGGAAATTCCAGAGCCACGGCTCCATCCAGAAGGAACAAGTCATTTTTCAGGTCCAGCTTTGGATTATTAAGTGCTACTTTGACAAATTCAGGACTCAAAACTAATGTGATTAGATCCCTTGGGAATTGTGACACAAAGACCAGGCCTAGGAGACCAGTAAGGAGATGCTCAGGATAATGTCGAAACTCTGCCTTTCTTTGCCTCATGGCTTCTATCAGGGTGGAGTAGAACATTAATTTCTTATCTGCGTAAAACCTAAGGTTGCCAAAAGCCCAAAGCAGTTTGCATGTGTCTTTAGTTCTGCAGTGTGGCGCTAGTGAGGGAATTTGTTCTGCAATAGCGGTAAGAATGTGACTGTTGCGATAATGTACTGATGAACAGGTCAAGGCCACGTGCATCATTCCAGGGATAGACATTTCAGGAGCCCGACGGGGAACTTCCTCTTCCATTGCTTCCATCCAAGCTATATGATACATGTAACTGAAGCGTAACAACTTCATCACGTTGACCAGGGCAAAGTCACTAATTTCTTTTACACAAGAATGTGCCTTATCAACAATACATGTCACCGTAGTGTGAGATATTTGAGTTTTAGATTTAAATAGCCCCAAGCATACAATTCCAATTTCTTCTGGATGTAGAAATTGTAAATTATTTAGTAAAAGCTTCTCAAGAAGATCACTTAAGCTTTTGGGGCAATGTCGTCCTTCTCCAACTATGTAAAACAACTGGATTAATTCAGAGATGCCTATCTGTTCTTTTTTTAATGGGACTAACTCATATAAACACTGCAGAAACTTGGGGACTTTTCTGCCGATACATCGCCATATATCAGCAGCTAACAGTAACTGGTGTAGAGTCATGTGTTTGACTCTGCGTTTTAGTTCTGTCTCATACAACCAGAGCATAGAGTGGGCAGATGACATATCCAGCCACACAAAAGACTGCAGCACTTCCAGGAGCTCCAGGTCAGTGAAGTGGGGCAGGTTTTCCACAGAGTTTCGGAGAAGCATGATGAATCGGGTGTTACTCTTCAGCAATGGCATTTTGTCTGGATTCAAGTGACTGAGTTCAAAAAGGAAGTGAGACACTTGGGATGGTTTCATGCAGGATTTTGAACTGCCAACTCTTTTCAGCACTGAGAAGGCCTCCTCCAATTCAATCTGCTGAGGCCTTTGGGTGAGATCTATGGTGATGTCAGCATACTGTGGCCGACATTTTTGAAAACTGCGTGCAAGTTCATTAAAATTTGTAGATATAACATTTCCTTCAACTGGTGACAATGAGGAGCTCTCTGCTTCAGAGTCGTTGTCTAAAGCTGAATTGTCAGTTGTGTTTTGTATACAGGAAAGGTGTCTCTGGTGGTTGATTCTGTAGGATTTGCTCTCTTGCCAGGGGGAATGTGTGTCTGTTCTGATGTTCCATCCATCCTCGTCATCATCCGTTTGAATGATGGAAGGTGCAGAGTTCCATGCATTGTGATGATATGAAGATGGGTTGTAATGCAGCTTGTACAATTGCAATACGGAAGCTTCTTTTGTCTGAAATGCTTCCTTTTTTGTCTGTTGTTCCTCAGTTTCATTCTGTGTTTTGCTATGAAAGTGTTGAATCGAAGTACAGTTTGTCCTTAACCCTCTGAGGTGCCATAGCCTTAGCGCCCGTTGACAAAGCACACTGGCAGACATTAATATGCCCTAAAAAAAACAAGAATTTAATTTAGTAATGAAAATGTAAATTATAACTGTACAGGTCATTGACTACATATTATACTATTATAAATTATATCATTTGTAAAATATTAGATATTTAATAACAGTGCATCGGTGCTTCTAACTATTTTCATGAAAACCGTAGAATTGCTGTGACAAACGTTAAGTCAATATAATTAGGCAATTAACAAATACATTTGTTCCGTTTATCGTCTGTAAAATTAACCAATCATGAAAATAAGAAAGGGCATATGTGTATGTGTGTAGCAATCGTACTTTACTCTTTTACACGTGTTATTGCTGTTAACTTACACGGCCCAAATTCCAACGATAGCAACTTCACGCCCCTCTACTAAAGTAGTTTCTATAGGGCTAATTATAACAATATAACAGTATGCTCACCTTTACCTTCATTTTACACTGTCAACATAGCATATGTACGCATGGCAGCGTTATGTTAGCAGGAAGTATTATATCTTGGGGAAAGACATTAACCGGAAAAGGGTTTGATGGACATTCAAAACAAAATCCTTACACATTTAAATTAACAACATTAGACCATCGATACACCAAAAGGAGTTTCAGTTATTTATTTTTTGTGCATAATTCGTATAGTTTTGTGATTAATATTTCAATTCAAATGTTTGATATCGCGTATTATAACTGGCGATCGTGTATTTGTGCTTTATTGTGGTAGTTGGAAGCCGTTTCCGCAATATGCCGCCATGACTAAGGAGAACATGACCTACGGTAGCTCGGTGGGTTCAAACCACCAGAGCGGGAAACGAAAAAGAAGAGGGTGGGTGTAATAAGGTAAAAGTGTAAAAGTACCCTTTATATATTTTTTGTAGTATACCCTTCTTGCTTTTATTTATTTAGTAGATAATAATTTTTTTATCGCTTTATCATTACTAAAATTATCCAGTGCATGATAAGCCTTTTTAAGGATAAGGATTTTAAGGACAAATGAATACTTGGGTTTTGACGCAGTAAAAGTAAAAGAAGAGCCAATAATTTAATTTCTAACTTTCAGGTCTAAAAGTTCCAAAAGAAAAATCTGTGGACAAAGATTTTTGGTCAATAGTCTTTATAAATATGTTTGTAATAGTGAAATAAAAAAAATGACACGGCTAAAGTTGTGCTAATATCCAGGGTTTTAATTCTTTAAAAAAAATCTAATAAAATGTTAGAAAGGCCCTATAACAATATTTAGTATTTCTTTTTAGCATTTTTCTGTAAGACGCTTTAAATTACATACCAAACCATTCAATATAAAGTATTTATGAAAGCAGTTCTTCCACCAAAGACAGCTACAACTAGGTGACATAACAGGCCCTTGCAGTTCTGGGATAAATCAAAAGGAAAAGGACTTGTTGGTCGAAAATCTTTCGGAAGTAAAATGTTCCTTAATCTGAGGGTAAAGATATTTGGAGATGATCCAGTAATTTGGGCAATTTTTACCACTATGTATAATTTATATATTTTTTGTAGTATACCCTTTTGCACGAAAAGCAGTTTGCAACATTTTTACATCAAAATTATTAGTTGCATTAATTTGAAAGTTTTAGGTCACAGTACGAACAGTTATTTGTTTAAATAGTAATTACAATTATACTACTTTCAATAAACCAAAAATGTTGGTAATTTTTCTACCAGTTTTATTTTTTTATCTGTTTAATTTGTACCAGATAAATTATATTCTCTAGTTTTACTGTATACATGATAGATAATAATACACAGAACAATTTATTAAAAACACATTCCTCATCCAAACAAGAGAACACAGATTGTGGTAGTAGATGAACAATCCTGTACCTATTTAAAGACAAATCTTGTTGTCCCTCCAGGCCATGCTTTTTATCCTCTTACTGAATGTGGGAGGCTTGCTCCCATTCTCTGACTTTACACATGACTGAATCAATGGGTGAAGGGTTAACTGCAGCACATAAGACAATAGTCTGCCTCTGTTCTAAAGTAATGGTAATAATAACCTAAAAGCTGGCCACAAAAGTCCTTTATAAATATTAGCTGTTGTGAAATTTTGCATATTTTAGTGGGCGCTATTGGATCTATAGAAATTGTATCTAGTTACTAAAGTATGGTTTTCAATAACCTTACATTACAAATTCACATTTAATTGTTGTGGAGCCCATCTCGTTATTTAAAACATTTACTACTGTTCATATACTGTATTTATTTGTAATGGATTCGAAATTTAATGAGACCAAATACAAACAGAGCTCCTTTATTTTTAAAGAAGTTACCTGAAAATAAACATCAAGTTTTCTTTTAGGGCTTTTTTGCATTTGTTTTTAATCGATTTAAAGTAAAATATTTAAGGTAGGCCAATATTCATAATACTAAATTAATTAGATTCACTGCAAAAATAGAAAATATTTGTTCAACAATCTGATCATTTATACTTATTTTTAAACAAGCGTTTACACGGATCACACATTTGTTTTAGTCCAATAGTGTGTAAAAGCAAATTTTGTGATTTCAGCTCTGTACAGTAAGTAGAGCTTTTGTATCTTTAATTTAAGGCCTGACAAAGACAGAACAATTTTATGGTTTCTGATGACGATTGGTTTCTTAATAATAATAATAATAATATTTTTTAAAAATTTAGTGGTTAAAGGTTAAACATGTCAACCACTCTATTCTTATTTTGAAAACATTATTTTGTGGCCATAAATGTACTGTTTTTAAAATGAGAACTGTTGATGCATTTGCAGCAGGATGTGTTTGTTTTTGTTCTTCTATTTACAGTGTACTCATTATTTAATTCAAGATTTCATCAAAATGATTCATAAGTTTTTTCTCTGTTATTTGACTTCAAACTGAAAAATATTTTGTTTGAGGACAATATCTACACATCTAAAGACTAATGGACTTTTCAAAAGAACTTTTGCATTTAAAAAAAACCCAAAAAGTAACCTTAAAAATACAAAATGTAAATAAAGGGTGTTATGAACTAACTCTATGAATAATTGATAGTGTTTTTTTGTTTTGTTTTAACTGCTGAAATTATTAAATTAAGAATTAAAATCTTTTTCAAGTCTATCCTGGATAAATCAGTTGAAGTTACTATTTAGGCCTATTATAATAAATGAATGGTTGAAAAACAGCTCGTGTGTTACAAAACGCAATATGAAAAACAATTCATTTGAAAATCTGGGTTCAAGCTGATGTCCCCCTTTTTGTTTAAGAAATTAAATAGTTTAGAAGGAACGTCAGGAAATTATTTGTAGATTCCACAGATATTTAATTCGGTACATGGATTTATGATTTTTTTAAAACACAAAAAGTAAGTGAAACCAAATTGTTTCTACCCAATAAAGCGGTTAAAGAGCTCTGTAAGACATTTTCCTAATGGCCCACTTCTTAATAGGTCTTTATGGGGAGGAACTGGACAGACCATTGACCCTAGCTAAAAGGTTTATCAAAGGAACATGGCATTTAGTGAAATATTTTTAATAGGGAGAAACCTGTGTGAAATGTGATGATAATAATGTTCTTGTGGGCTTTTTGATCTATTGATTTGTATTGACCTGCAAATTGTGGCAACCTGCCCTCTTGTAGTTGTGTTTATATACTTGTATTGTGGCCTTGTGGTGAGAATATTTGGGAAAACAATTGTGGTACAAATACATAAAACAAATCATATACATTTATACTGTTAACATCTTTGTGTGCATGTCATTTGAAATGCTTTAAAGTCATCACAACACAACTTATACAAATCCATGAAAATATTTGTAAAGGTACAAAACAGACCTTTTATATAACACAGCAGTGTGTGTGTATAGAAAATATTAAATGTTAGAAAGTACTGACAAAATAATGTTTACGCCACCGTGAAAATATTTGTACAGTATACAAACAAAAAAATTGAACTTTGAATACTATTACACTATTATCATATGTGAAAATTTAAAAAAATTTTAAATGTGGTAATGTAAAGTATACATCCTAATTAAAGTATTTGTATAGTGCATAGTGTACAAACAATTAAAACGTATGCTTTTGTACTTCTACCATCTGTGTTTCAATAACTCTTATATGTTGTCAAAGTAATGGTTTAACGAATTTATGTAACTTAATGAAAATATTTGTATTATACAAAAAATACTGGTACCAGTGCCACTTTACCACTACCACGTGTGTTCTTTTCCAGCATTTCCATCGGGAAAAAAATGAAGGCAAAACTTTGGTTGCACACATTTTAATGTTTTTGTGTAATTGGAATTTCATCGTTATTTTCAATCTATTGTCTTATTGTGAGTAGTGCATTATTTCGGGGTTTACTTGCTCAATAGCACATGTTTAACAACACGCTGACCAGGGTTCTAGTGAAACTTGAGAGCAGCTCTTGGAGAGGAAGTAGTTGATTTATGCTAATGAAGGAGTTGGGCTTTAGCTACGCTGGCTGGGAGCCGCCCTTCATTCACCACATGGTTAAACCTAGACTCTACTCGCGCCACTTTCGCAATCTTACTACGATTCCCAAACTCCTGGGAAATCATAATAGCAGCGCCGGGATTGTTCCTTCTAGCTGCTATTCAATTTGTTAAGCCATGTTTTTTTTCCTGTTTTCTCAGTTTTGCAGATATCCCCCTGAAACAGTGAGTAAACGGTAAGTCTGTACAAGTAAGTGAACATGGTGGATATTTAGAAGCTAGTGTCCTATTACGCGCATGTTATTGGCAAGAAACCTGTTGTTAGCCTGCTGCTCGGGAAGACGCGGTTAAACGTCAAGAAAGTAAAATAAACGCACAGCCCTGTACGCGACACCGGAGCTGCTCGTTGACGTTTACACGAGCAAGGGAAACATTTTTTAATCGGTTGTTTCCGCATTTGAAAACAGCGTTGTAAGAGGCGCATGGCAACCTCTCCTCCATGGTTGGTGAATGAGGGAGATTTGAAAAGCTGCTGTTGCGGCTGCACCTCACTCGGCACTGCAGGGAAAGTGCGACGGCAGTATTTGAAAAAACTATTATTAGAATCTAGTACTTTAATATAAAAGTTTTACTGCTGAGCAATGTCAAGTGGTTTGGAATTCGAGTTATCGCTTATCATTGTGAGCGTAGTGGTGCTCACTTGGAAGTGTCTCCAGAACAAAGCAGGGCAGCACATGGGCTTTCAATAGGCCGCGCGCGTTCGATGTCCCGCGAGTTAGCTGCTAATGCTAATTTATAAACGAATACAGTGCCATTATTTTTTATAATGGCACTAGTGATACCATTATCATTGTATATCTTCAAATTAGTATAGAAATGCATACAAGTGCAGGTCAAACAGTGTTTTAGTCGGCGTAAGCGTGTGTAGGCTACGGCAATAGAGCTACGTTGGCTAACAGCATTGCTCTGAAGTGGATGAACTGACGTGAACTCGCACTCATTGTATAATTTATGTCAAATCCCAATATTTTGTATTAACAGCGAGAGCCTCAAA